GCTCCATCTTCTCAAAACCTGGTCATCGGTACTTGTCTACTAGTGACCTGAGAATACAAGTTACTTTGAAAGCGTAGATCAGCATTAAAGATGGTGAGTTCATAAGTATTTTAGTGTCATTGTTTGTATAAGTTTGAAGAAAGTACTTGTAAATGTTTGATGTAAAAGTTTGTAAGTGTTTGATGTAAATGTTTGTAAACTTCCTAGAAAATCCTATATTTTCTACTAAAGTAGTCTTCTACCAAGACCCAACTGTTCTTTATGTTTGTTCTTTTGTAAAAGTGAGTGTTTTCCCAAAGTTTGACTATCATTACCAAAATATAGTTTTCATTACCGTTTATGTTAGAATATCACAATGTGAATGAAATGGGAAAATAAAGATGTACTGTAGTTCTATCTAAGTAACTACCAATGTACTAACTACCTTAAACATGTTTGTTTAATTAAGGTAAAATGTGATAAGATTGTAACCATTCTTGATTGACTAGTATAACACGACATTCGAGACATCGAAATGATATGACATTCGTCACCCGTAGACCTGCAGGTCCCACTGTAGCTAGCAGCAAGGTGTAGGATGGTCAATCCCGTATAGATCTATACACAAATTCACGCTCTCCCTCCAGGAGACTCTGGATACAAAACGTGACACATCAGTATATTGCCATGCCATGAAGTAGTGGCTCACATTATCGTTATAGTATTCTTGTATTTGTATAGTATGTTCTCTCTGTCTAGTGTATAGTATGTTCTCTCTGTCTAGTGTATAGTATGTTCTCTCTGTCTCTCTTTATAGTAAGTATTGTTTCTCGTTATAGTATGTTTGAACTGACTCATGTATGAACTGACTCTTGTATGTTTCATTGTTCTAGAAATAGTAAGTAGTGACTTCCTAAACTATACCTATTATAGTTTACTAATAATGTTGTTTGCATGACTGAACATGTTTGTACACCTTTGCTACCCAAAGGTATTGAGCTGAACGAAGAACTTTTATATCTATATACATATACATAATATATAACTAAGATTCAAACGACATTTGGGCAAACAACAGATACCCTAAGTCCACAACCAAACAATGAACATGAAATAAAGCGAGTTATCAGTCCTAATCCCTTTCAATCCTACTTATATAACTATATCCATATAGACATGATTTTGACAATATATAAGTTTAAAAGAGTTTGATAAAGAGTTTTGCATATAATATCGTTTGTAAAATGATTCGAAGCAGTTTGTTTGATAACACAGTTTGAAGTATACGAAATCCATTTGTTTGATAGTTATTAATCACATATGATTGATATAATAACTATAAGTGTTTGTACTTGTATTCCTCCCATAAAAGCATTTAAAATCGTTTAAAAGATAAGTTAAGGGGTATGAACTCACCTGCAGTGAGTAATACAAATGAAAGATCGATAAAGGATGTTATGTGTCAAGTGAAGCCTCGAGCACAAACGGATCCTAATAAGCATATAATGACACATATATGTATATAATTAGTGTATAAACAACTAATCATGCAAGGAAACCACCTTATAGACTGGTAAACACTTAGATTGAAGTGTTACACTCACATATGATTGCATCAAAGGGGTTTACGGCCACACTAGGGTGTGTACGGCCAAGGTGTGTACGGCCATGGAGTGTACGGCCGTACACTCATGGATGAAGTATGCAAAAAGGGTGTTTTATGGCCCTATCTAGCATCCATTAAGTGTTTATGATCATGTGTAGGGATATGGGGTGTTTTTGAGGCCAATACATGCACTAAACAAGGGTTTACGGCCATATAAGGTGACTACGGTCGTATACCCTTCATGTTTATGCATTTAGATGATGATCCAAGGCTAAAAACAAGTGTTTCGCAAGATTAACTAGCAGATAGGAGAGATACTCACACTTTTGAAGGCTTCTAAGGAGTTCACGGACCAAGAACAAGTAGGTGTTCTTGGAGAAAACTTGAAGATCTAACCAAAAGAGATGATTTCACAGATGAAAACATGGATCATCACTAGTTAAAGCAATGTATCAACTAACAAATGGAAGAAATACTTACATCTTTGAAGATCAAGATGAAGAACTAGATGATAGTTAAAGAAAGAATTGGATTTCTTTGAGTGAGAAGTGTAGAAATGAGGAATAATGAAGGATTATCCTTCATAAAGGCATGAGATCACGGCCACCATGGGTGTACGGCCGTACACCCATGTGTACGGCCGTATACTCCTCTTGAAGGAGTGTTTGGACCGAATGCAACACGATGAAGTTAAGCTGACTCATCCTTAAACCCTAATCTTGAATGTACTAGGCTTAGAACACTCAAACAGACCCTAAACAATGCTAAAGGATAACAGAAATGAGTCTGACTTTGATTGAATTGAATGATTGTACAATATAGAAATTTCGGGTTGTCAGAATATTCATAAAACAATATTTTACATTGACAGTTTAATTACATAGACTTGATACAAACCGACTATTAAGATTTTTACAAAGTTTTATATATATTACATACTTTCTCAGGAATACAATACAAAAGCTATAATATTATCTATTTACATCTTCTACCAGTACATGAATATACTGGATGCTTATCACCTACAATAGTTTAAACATTGAGAGGGATAAGCGGGTGACGCTTAGTGAGTTCAATAACAGTTACAATATAACGCTATGCCATATACATATCAATATGACATAAGCAAAGAGGGACAAGGAACAAGAAAGGCAAAATGAGTATCATATGACAGGCTTTCCATATCAACGAATAATCAAATTCAAAGATTTGTAATCAATGAGACATAACAATTTCAATACTTGATATACATCAATAAGACTTCAGCCCAAGTGGCGTAGAAAATATATTTCAGAATATCATTTTTCTACAATACACAGGCTTTCAGCCTTATCTTTGCATTCTGCTAATGCCAAAGTGATGCTTATGTCATACACTTCATGGCCAAAGGCTACATACCAATACCCAATTGATGCTTATGTCATACACTTTGTGGTCAAAGGTATAGTTCATTATCATAATAACATGGGAAAGCACATTGAACATATAACACATAACATACAATTGTCCCTATATTGAACTCACCGTGAAATAACCGGGGGTTAAATGTTAATTTGGGCAGCACTTCGGCTCTAAATATGACTTTCTGTGACGAAACGGGGGATTTTAGTTGAAAACCAGCCTTACTCGGGCATAGTTTCGGCTAGAAATATATTATTTTCTCGGGAACTTCGGAGTGTCGAGACTTGCTTCGGGTGTCGGAGATGATACCAGGGCTTCGGGGGGTTAAAAGTGGCTAGAGAGGGTTTTTAGAGTGAAGGAGATTGAAAAATGGCAACCAAAATACGGGCAGCCTCTCATCCCTTTTATAGGGTCCGAAGCAGCTCACTACGCGGGGCGTAGTCTCGTTGTACGTGGGGCGTACGAGGCTACGTGTCCGATTCTTGGAAGGGAGGGCACGTGGCACGGACGTGTCTGCTACGTGGCCGTCATGCGAAGACCGGAGACGTGGTCAATCCGAGGTCCTGCCATGCAAACGCTGGGCGTAAGCCTCTACGCGGGGCGTATCTCCTCGGATAAGGCTCGAATTTTCATTTATTTTTATTTAAAAATTTCAAAAATTCATATCTTTTGCATACGAGCTCCGTTTTTGACGTTCTTTATATCCACGCGTAGGTGAAATTATGCTCTACAACTTTCGTTTAGACTCCATCGGCTAATTTTGAACTCATTTTTAATATTATATTTTTAACGGGCCGGGACATGAAAAGTCTGTTAAAAATTCATAACTTCTTCATCCGACGTCTGTTTTCGTCTGTCTTTTTACCGTTGTACTACTATTGACGAGATCTTCGATTCTCGTTTAGGTTGCGTCGGCTAAAGATCACTCGATCTTTATTTCGAGTTTTTAGCTGTTTACTGCTATTCTGAAATTTAGAAAAATCATAACTTCCTCATACGAAGTCAGATTTGAACGTTCTTTTTATGAAAATTCTCAGTTTAACGAATACTACGACTTTCATTTGGATCATACGGGCTAAAAATTAGTTTATCGAAAACTCACTTTTTACGTCATACGGCGTCGTGCCGGTTCTGTCGCGAAACTTCAAATAGTCATAACTTCTTCGTTATAACTCAGATTTCGATGAGGTTTTCGCCTAAATGTTTCTAACGAGGTTCTTTACAACTTTCAATAATAAAATTGTACTTATTTCAAATTTTATATTTTCGTTAAATTTTAATATTTGACATTAGATTGGAATCTCATAAGACTTCCAATATTTTCCGAGTGATTCTAAACATAGTTGTACTTCATTTCTAGTAAAAACTATCTGTTAGAACTCAACACTCAAAATCACATAATATTTTATAATATTATTCATTTTTAAAAGTTACAAAACACGATAACTGAACGTGTATGTTACAAATTGGTTATGAAACAGGTGGTTAAGTCACACCAATGTTGACATTTGGATCCACATCAGATGTGTTTCTAGGGATGCCTGAAGTCCAATTATCCTCCATAAAGGATTTGAAAGTAGGAGCTTCTGGTGGAAATTTTGTGTTTGTAAGTAGATGAAGTGAAAATTAGAGTTGGTATAGGTAAAGTGGTTTGGGTTGGCGTTGTCGATTCAGAATTGGTGTTCGTAAGAGGTGAAATATTGGTTTGGGTCGGAACATTTGTGTTAAATGGTAAAGGAAGTGGTGGTGTTTGAGAAAGATCAAGCAATGGGTCATTCAACATTTGATAAAAAATATCAGACTCAAGTGGAGTTTGAGTAGATTTAAGAACAGATGATGAAAGTGGAGTGAATACCTTCGAAAGTACAGGTGAAGTATTATGTTTTGAAGCCTTTAGTGAAACTTTCAATGTGGTCGTAGTATCTTCCTCAAAAGTATTTTCACCCGGAACATCACTTTTAGTTCTCTCTTCCGAACCCTCATCCATCACAGCTGGATTAGATTTGGGTTTTCTTTACGACTTAACTTTCTTTGAAACAACCTCAGCTACTTTCGCTTTTCTCTTTGTTCCTCCCCTCTTTGGAACATCACCAACGTCAAGAATAACTTGTAATGAAGCAAGAACTTCACGATCTACAATATTAGGGTTTTTCCGATATTCTTGAATAAAGACAGTATCAAGCGGAACCCTAGCCAACATCACTTCTGGAATAGAACCAACAAAATTGAAATTCTTCGGATCAGAATTCACACACATGGCAGTCTGCATCTTTGGAGTATCAATTATCATAACATCATTCATCTCTGGAACTTGATAGTCGTTCTAGAGATGAACAACAAAATCGACCAAAACCCAGCACACACGAAATCTCTGAATCCTTTGTTGTTGAACTCACACTTTGAGAAAACTGAGTCCAAATCACAGTTCCATAATCCAGATTCTCGCCCGTAAAAAGTGTTTGGTTTTGAGCATTCTAACACTCTTATGGTGTACATGCAACCCTAGAAACCTTGGATCTATGTTTTCTCTAAAATACATGCAAATTTGATTTCCAAGGTTTACAACCTAACTAGCATGTTATGGGGTACATGTAATACAAAAACTTTAAGTAGAATAACATACCTTTCTTTTGTGGTTGATTGCTTGGAGTTTTAGAGCCTAGCACCAATAGTGTGGATGCCTCAAGTGGTGTCACAAATCACCTAAAACAACTTGGAAATACTTGAGAGAATATGATGCTCTCTAAAATCGGCCCACTCTTGTTTCTCACACACACTAGTGCCAATTCTAGAACCAATGACCTCTTTATATAGTATGGAGGATTAGGGTTACACCCTAATACCCATGACTCTTCATTTACCTAGGATCCATGGGTTAAAGCTCCATGGACTATCCATGGACTTCCATATACTCTTAGCCCATCCTAAATAAATCTTAGCCCAATCCATATATATGTAAGAGTCCATATTTAGTTAGCCTCTTTTGATCACTAAATTAATTCCAAAATCAATTCTTGATCAATACTAATTAAATAATATGATTTCATATTAATATATTATAACTTATAATATATTAATAGATCATGAACATCTTATTCTCAAAAGTATATCCATACAAATTGTTAGGTGAAGTGCAACCCAAATGGACCATGCCGGGTCGGATCAAGTTCATACCAAATATAGTTACGGACTTAGACACCTTATCCAACAGTCTCCCACTTGCATAAGTCTGATGACTATAGTTGCAAGTATAACTTCAGGAACCAACCAGTAATCGTAGCTCTTTAAAACTCTGTTGAACTATGAAACCCCATTTTAGATAAGTGATCATATAATCCTCTATTCTCAGGATATCAGTCGGACAAATACATGGAACAATGTCATACTTATTGTCCAGCAGTTGTTTCTCGATCTCTGATTTGTTTGACATAGAATGTAACATCCCGTTCCAGATTATTTTGTGATTTAGGGCCCGTGGGGCCTTAATCCGAGTATGAGAAGGCTTTGAGGCTTTGAAGGATAAAGGTTTAGGTCGTTTTGGGATATGGGTAAGGTAGGTTGTGTGATAAAAGAGTTCGGTTTGTGCTTTAGAGCCCAAATGTATTGTTAAAGGCGCTGGTGCAGGATTTTCATGAATTTTGGATCTGAGTACGAGTGAGATTCAGGAGGAATAAAGTTGATAGAAGTGTAGGGCTTCTCGTTACCTTTTCGTGGATATAAGGATCGTCAGAAACGGATTTATAACGAAGAAGTTATGGCATTCAGAAGTTTTGTGGTTGCGGGCTTAGCTGAGTACGCTGGGCGTACACAAAGCGTACGTTGGGCGTACTAGTGCAGAAGCAAGTACGTTGGGCGTACTGACCAGGGGTAGTCGCGAATGTTCTTTGGAGTACGCAGGGCGTACCATATGTACGCTGGGCGTACGCTGATCAGACCTGAACCCTATTTTAGGGTCTTGGACCCTATTTAAGCTTCTTATCTCATAACCTAACCCTAATATATTCAGCCTCCATCCCTCTAAACCCTGTAAATCGATCCTAAGCCTCCATTTGAGTGATTCTTGAGCATTTTGGTGATTTAGTGAGTTTTTGGTGCATATTTGTGGAAGAAGGAGTTCCTTGAGGAAGCATTGCTTGGCTTGGAGCTTGTAGATCCAAGCCCTAATCATATTGATCTAGCTCCAGAAAGCATAAAGTTTGAATCTTGGTGGCTTTCTCATGTGGATCTAGTGGGGTGATCACTTGTTATGTTTGGCCTTTGAAGAAGACGGAGCTTTGAAAGAGAATAGCTTGAGCACCTAGCTTTTGGATATATATTCTTCTCTTGTTGGTGCATCTTCCAGACGTATCAAGTTTTGAACGTGCTTATTCTTGTGCTATTTTTTGTTCTGCGTCCATTTTAGGGTTTTTGGTCCCAAAGCTTGAAGCTTTATGAGTGATTGAACTCCAGAGCCTAATATATGTCCCTTTGAGTATATTTAGTGGTGTTATGTCATAAAAATCCAATCTTGGTCGTTGGAATCGAGCTATGCATGAGTTAGGAGCATTTTGAGACAAGAGAATGAGAGTTTTGGGTGTTTGTGACCTTTTCAGCCATGCAAAGGCTTAAAGTCATTGACTTTATGGAGTAAGAGCCTTTAGGGAGTTCAGATCTGTGATATGAGTCAAGGTCTTAACTGATTAAGACCAAAAGAGTAGAAAAAGTAAATATGGGCGTACGCTGAGGTTAAATCTGGCACGCCCCGCATACTAGGTTGGTGTCCCCGATCAGGATTCGTGTACGCTGGAGTACGCTGAGCGTACCAAGGGAGGTACGCCCCGCGTAACCCCACTGTGGACTTTTTTGGGCCTTAAGTGTTGGGCCTGGAGTTTGGGCTTGTTGTGCTAGAGATTTGGACCAGAGGAATATGTATATGTGCCTTGGGCCCTTGAGTTGGGCTTGCCTCTTGGACTTGAGAGTTAGGCCTCGGGAGAGCCTATTTATTATTGGGCCTTGGTGGGCCCAATGGGTTTTAGGCTATTAATGGGCCGGTTAGTGGTCTTCCTTTAGACCTAATGAGTGAGAGTCTGGATTTAGTTCCTAATTGGGTTAATTGTGGATTTGGATCAGAGTTAGAGGTTGGTGCGTAGCAGCAGCGTTTATAGGGGTTGTTCATCATCCGAGGTGAGTCTTCTCACTATACATTACCTAGTGTGGTAACTATGTGCAGACCGGAGGGTCCTATGTGTTATGTGTATGCTTGAGTTTATGTGCATTGTGATATATGTATGCTATGTGTTATATAGACCGGACCGGAGGGTCCAATGATTTAGACCGAACCAGAGGATCCGACGATTTAGACCGGACCAGAGGGTCCAACGAGCTAGACCGGATTGGAGGGTCCAACGAGCTACGGGACTGGAGGGTCCCGCTGAGACACATTGACCGGAGGGTCATGCTGAGTTATAGCCTCGAGTGGCTTATGTGTTGTATGTGGTATTTTGGGGAACTCACTAAGCTTCGTGCTTACCGTGTTACGCGTTATGTGTTTCAGGTTCTTATTTGGATCGCGGGAGGGCGCCGGCTTGATTGTACACACATCAGAGATTGAGTTATGTTTTAGAGGATCCTGGAGTTTAATACATACTGTTTTAATTATGAGAATTGATGATGACTTTGTGACATTTTGGAATTTTATTATTGCGATATATGTGTTTTAAATTGAAAAATTTGGTTTGAAAATTTACGTCGTTACATAGAACTAAATTGAACACATCAATCAGGTTCTGACCGGGCCCGACACATAAACCAAATCACCGAGGGGCCCAGATATTGCTTCTATTGCTATAAGGAACAGATAAACTTCGATACATATGCTTGTACTAACTACTAGTTGAATTATGCACAAAAGCATGTTTTATGACATCAAGTTACTGATGCGTTTTCGTACAATCAATGAACAACCAACTCATAGTCAACAACTCACATCTCTAGGTTTGAAGATATATATGATATTACCGTCTCACGATCACTCGAGATAAATTCCATGAAGTGATACAAGTGAGCATGGGTTTAATCCAATACTCAGACCTTATGAGTACTCATGAATGTTGTAGCAACCATTGCAATGTCTAATGCACCTTAGACAAATCATATAATCCAAATTCATGACAGTCTTAATTCAATACCTACTTCCAATGTATGACCGACTGTGGAGAGTTTTGAATAAAATAATTATTCTGAAAGTCAAAACATGCAAAATTAAAACAATAGTAAATGATTAACATAAGATAGTAACACCTTCCTTATAAATAAACAACAACTTTTATTTAATCATCAAATGTCAATTACATTTTACAAGTTTCAAAAATAGATATCTAATTATTAAAACTAATATCGTCTCTCAGCCCGATGCTCCTCGCATGCTGCAAATGTCTAACCCTAGTCAGTCCCTTTGTGAGGGGATCTGCAGGGTTCTCTTCTGATGATACCCTCTTTGCCACGAGGAGTCCTTATTCTATCTTGTGTCTTATGAAGTGATATTTTCTGTCAATGTGTCTGGATCTACAATAATCTCTTGGTTCCTTGACTAAGGCAACCGCACTATTTCTGTCACAGAAAATCTCCATAGGCTCCTATATAGCTGGTACAACTCCAAGGTCTCCAATGAAGTAATTCATCCATATCGTCTCCTTTGCCGCTTCACTTGTTGTTATGTACTCTGATTCACAAGTAGAATCAGCTACTGTCTCCTGCTTGGAACTTTTCCATGTAATCGCTCCTCCATTTAGGGTAAAGACCCAGCCTGACTGAGAGCGGAAATTATCCCTATCAGTCTAAAAACTAGCATCGCTATACCCTACTACTCTCAAGTCACACCGAGGGTAAGAACCCAGTCCTTAGTCCTCCGTAGGTACTTGAGAATATTCTTTACTGCAGTCCAGTGAGCCTTTCCAGGGTATCTGCTGAGCATTCTCAAAGCAAAGGCCACATCAGGATTAGTACAAGTCATAACATACATGATCGAGCCAACAGCGGAAGCATACGGTAATCGACTCATCTCAGCTATCTCAGCCTCTGTACTCGGAAGCTAAGTTTTACTCAGTCTGGAATTGTGTTGGATCGGTAACTCCCCTTTCTTGGAATTCTCCATGTTGAACCTCTTCAACACTTTATCCAAGTAGGTACTCTAAATAAGTCCACTTAGTCTTTCTAACGACGTAAATTTCAAAACAATTTTTCATTTTTCAAACATAATAAAACTCATATAATATTCTCAAAATCCCATGTATCAATGTCATCACAAATAACATATCCCAGAAT